AATTTAATGTTCTTGAATTATCAGTGCTGCTCTAGAATGAGAAAGAAGGAGCAGAAAACAACCCTTGTCTAGCTAAGTATGCTTCCAAGACCTGAAATATTGAAATATTTTGTTCTTCTGTGCCTCTTTTGATGTCTGCATTAATGTCCCAATTTAATGTTCTTGAATTATCAGTGCTGCTCTAGAATGAGAAAGAAGGAGCAGAAAACAACCCTTGTCTAGCTAAGTATGCTTCCAAGACCTGAAATATTGAAATATTTTGTTCTTCTGTGCCTCTTTTGATGTCTGCATTAATGTCCCACCTTTTTTTCTCCTCGCCCTTCCATGCCTCCCCAAATCTCACATTCTGCCAAAAGGAAAAAAGTACTGCAAGCAAGAGAAATGGAAATTGGTTTCAACTGACAAGGTGGAGTCGAAGGCGCTAGATTCCATACCTAGCTTTGGCCACCCTTGGGAGTTCAAAGCACCGTCTGTTCCTGTCGCTGCTTGGACTCTACAAAGGCAGAGACCAACCTGGTCATCTTGTCCAGTTTCCTGTCCAGGGACTCGATCCGCTTTTCCAGTTCCCGGTGGGAGTTGCTAAGGCTGCTGCTGAGGTCACACATGATCATTTGCATCTACGGGGAGAAGAAGAGGACAGTCATCATCCAGAATTCATCCTCTGATGATGGGTAGAAACTGCCGTTCTTTTTAAAATGAGAATTGGTGGGATTTCTCCGTGTTCAGGATGGAAAGCATTTGAAAGCAAAAACATCCAGATGGAAGAGAAATCAGAAATGACTGTTCTGCTCAACCAGGTTTTGAGTATTTCTTTGAACTCTCTATCTTTGAATCTTTAGTGGTGCTGAATTAGGGTTGCAACATTTTTTCCCTTACAGGCTCCTTCATGGAACTTTTTAAACCTCAATGGGCATCTAGGTTCAATGGCCATCTAGGAGGGGTCCTCTGTGGGGTTCTGGTGCTGGCAGAGAAGGCTGGACTAGATGACCTCTGGCTTCCTTTTCAACTCTGCTGCTCTGTAATTCAACTGCATGGCACGCAGGGGGAACAGTCTTCTGCATGCAGGGAAAAGCTGCAGCCACTGAATTTGCTCTGTACAAAGTGGGGCGATTCTGCTTTAATCTGCCTCCAATTAGAAGTTGTCACTATTTGCAAATGTCTTTACATTCTAGCAGGAAAATGAGACTTACTCTCGAGACTGTGAATGTTAGAATGAGATGCGCAGTGCGGTGTACTGTATAGGGTCATGGACTAGGACTCGGGAGGCCTGGGTTCGAATCCCCGCTCAGCCATGGAAGCTCAGCGCAGGTGTGGAACTAGTAAAGGCACTCCTTGATATCTCACTGCCCTTGGAAACACTGTTAGGGCTCCTATAAGTTGGTTCCAACTTGACCTCGCGCAACAAAGATAGAACGCAGAAGGAGGCACAACGGACAAGATGTGTTCCATCTTGAGTGAGCAGTGGTGTTTCCTTTGCCAGGGCATGACCTCTAGATGGCACTCTTCCCTCTAGAAAAGGGCCAGAGGGAAGAGAAGCTATTGCATACACACACACAACAAAAACTTGACTGTGAAATTCCTGCTACAATCTTAGAACGGCAGGCCTGGAAGGGACCTTATAGATCATCAAGTCCACCCCTGTCGAAGAGGCATGCTGTGTCAGGGGCATGCAGAAGAAGCTAGGATATCTCTGCATTATTCACACAGAAAGTGTTATATGACTCTTCATGACAGCCACAGAATAAGGGGAAAGTTGGTAAAGGCCATAAGAGCCCTACTGGATGAGACCGAAGGTCTACCAAGTCTGAGATCTTGTTCACAGCCACCCACCTGTTGCCTGTGAGAAGCCCACCAGCAGAACCTGAGGGTGATTGCCACCTCCGTTATGCAGCGAAGGGACTGAGATCCATACCCGAGGCCCCTCACTGTCCACTGCTCTTGAATTAAAACAACACAGGTGGGAGCTTGAGTTAAAACCACCGGAGACAGAGCAGAGCCCCGAACGTTCTGATGGGTCTGGAGCAATCCAATGCGGAAAAGCCACTGGTGTAGCGGTTAGAGCACTGGTGGACCAGGACTGGGGTGAGCCAGCTTCAATACCTCACTTGGTCTTGTTGCTCATGGGATGACGTTGGGCTAGTCACTGTCCCTCAGCCTCACTGGGATTGAGGTCTTAACTACAGTGATGCCTCGCAAGACGAGCACTCCGTTTTACGACGAAATCGCATAACGATGAAGTTTTTGCGATCGCAAAAGCGATCGCAAAACAATGTTTCCTATGGGGGAATTTCGCTTTGCGATGATCGGTTCCCTGCTTCGGGAACCGATTCTCGCAAAACGACGATTTTCCTACAGTTGATCAGCAGTTTCAAATGGCCGCCGGGTAAAAAACATGGCCGCCCGCTGTTTTCTGGGACGGATTCCTCGCTGCACGGGCAGCGAAAATGGCCATGCTGTGGAGGATCTTCGCTGGACAGTGAGTTCCAAGCCCATAGGAACACATTAATTGGGTTTTAATGCGTTTCTATGGGCTTTTTAATTTCGCTTTACGATGTTTTCGTTCTACAGCGGTTTCGCTGGAACGAATTAACATCGCAATGCGAGGCACCACTGTACTACTCACATAAGGCACGCATCCAAAAATGAAAGCTGGCCTTGATCTTTGTTTGTTCTGGCATGTGGCCGGCTTGTAAAAACAATGGGTTATTTTCTTCCTGGACAGTTGACAAATCTTTTCTTCGCCTCCCCAAAATGACATTTCCAGGTTTCTTCTGAAGAGGAAGAAGCTAAGCCCCAGTTTAAGCCCAGGGTATGAAAATTCCCTTGGAGTAGGAAAAGCCTGAGGTGTTTTTCTCCCCTTAATATATCAACACACACTGGGCTCAACCACATATTTTACTTATAAGTGAGTTATTTCTCCTGCCTTCTACTAGAACAATAGTTCCCAACATTGGGTTACCTAGGCTGTTCTTGAACTGCAACTCCCAGAAACCCTGGTGGTGGTGAAGGCTTCTGGGAGTTGCAGTCCAAGAATACCTGAGTTACCCAAAGTAGAGAACCACTATACGAGAGCAGTGGTTCCCAACCTTCGGTTGCCAAATGTTCTTGGACTAAAATTCCCAAAAGCCTTCAGCGCTAGTTGTGTTGGCTGGGATTTTTAGGAGATGTAGTCTCAAACATCTGGGGACCCAAGGTTGGAAGCCATTGCACCAGAGAGAGAAAAGTGGACTGGAGTAGCGACAGAACGTTTACAGGGAAATGCCATACATTTCATTCACTGTGCATCACTGTCTCCAGTGGAAAACTCACCTTGGAAATATCCACCATGGCATTGACATGATCTCGGATCTTCCGGTGCTTCATCCTTACATGCCGGAACCTAAAACACAAAGAAAAGAGGGAATTACAGCAACAATACCCGTCGCTCGTCATATGCGGTTGGATTTTATCTCCCATCGGCCCTTAGCTACGTATAATGGATGGGAGATGTCACCCCCTCCCACATCAGGCAAATGCTGCAATAGATTTGATCATCTTTAAGGTATCTCCAAGGTGCTCTAGTGCTACCTCTGTCATTTAAATACAGTGGTGCCTTGCATAACGAGCGCCTCGTATAGCGATGAATCCGCATAGCAGTCCCTTTTCTGCGATCGGTAATGCGGAGGCATCACGTCGGCCCCAATGGGCGAAACTCGCATAGCAAAGATCGGTAATTGTTTCGCTTACCGATCTTCACTTTGCAATGCCGCGGATCAGCTGTTCAGCGGTTCCAAAATGGCCGCCGGACACCCGAAATGGGCGCGCACAGCGTTTTCGCGCCCTCCCCTCGCTTGCCGAGGGCGTGAAAATGGCTGCCGGACCCAGGAAACTTCGCTAAATGGTGAGTTTTCAGCCGATTTGGAACGGCTTTTTGGAATGGCTTTTTACTTTCCGGTTAACGAAGTTTTCACATAGCAAAGGTTAATCCGGAACGGATTAACCTCGCTATGCGAGGCACCACTGTAAGTGGATCCCAACCTTGGATCACCCAGGTGTTCATGGACTGCAATTCCCAGAAACCTTCACCACCAGCTGTGCTGGCTGGGGTTTCTGGGAGTTGCAGTCCAAGAACACTTAAGTTATCCAAAGTTGGGAACTACTGATTTAAAGGATAAGTGGTGGATGCTATGGAGAGAATGATGTTGAACCAGGTAGTAGATCTGACTCAGGGTTTAGTACCATTTTTAGGAGCCATCCCAGCAGCTGTATCCTGTCCCCAAATACAGTTCGGACATAAACCCTGCCAGCAACCATGTGGATATATTATGTGCTGCAATATAATTGCTATATGACAAAAAGAGAAAGAAACACACCCCCCAAGAAGGTTTTTGCCTCTGCTTAATTGTTTTCCTCACACTTTGAGCTTCTCTATACGATTTGGTCACAAGTGGAGTAAAACTGGGATAATGATGATCATGTCCTTAGCTTGGCAGGGCAAGGAAAATCTACTAGCCAGCCGCCCCTGCTCTCAAGGGGAAACAAGACTTACGGGAGAAATAAGACTTAATAAATAGTTTTCAGCATTTATCTCAATAATTCTGAGCCACTTTGTTCGAGCCTTAAACAGTTTCACGTATGTCCCCTTCAGTAATCTTTTCAAAAGCTCCGTGAAGCCAGACAGCCTTGTCCCCATATCGCAGGTAGAAAGGCTGAGGGTCAGAGTAAATTGTGGTCTCCTTAAGGCCACCATTCCAGGAAGTTCATAATTAGAACTTGGGGCATCCAGACACACAGCTCACACTGTTTGGGCATGTTAGCATGGATATTTGCTTGGGGTGTGTTCAAACAGTTTGAATGTGTGGATTTGGAGATATCTCGATATGTATGTTGGGTTGATATCGGTAATGTGTCCTCCTGAACCACCATATACTCTGAAAACAATTCTGGAACAGTAGAGTAGAAAATCTGTCACAACCATCGTAGAGCCACCGCTTGGAAAATTCACTTTTTGGACTACAACTCCCATCCTTCTTATATGTCTTGCAGAGGTCCTAAACAGTATTTCTGAAGGCCCAGTTCACTCTAATTGATTTGACTCTGTCACAGGGTTGTTGATCTTGTTAGGTGCTGTCAAGTCGCCCTTGACTTATTATCTCCAAAAATATCCTGTTCTCAAGAGCCCTTGCAAACTCGTGCCTGTGGCTTCCTTTAGGGCAAGTCGCCCTTGACTTATTATCTCCAAAATATCCTGTTCTCAAGAAACTTATGTCTGTGGCTTCCTTTAGGAAACCGATCCATCTCCTATTTGGCCTTCCTCTTTTCCTGCTGTCTTCAACTTTTCCCAGGGCAGGAGCCAGAAACCGAGACCCAACCTATGCCGTGAAGTTCGTCACTTACATATGGATGGCCGCCAGCAGCCTCCGGTGGTGCTTGCGCATCCGCCTGCCGTCCTTCCTCTTGGTGTGTTTGTACAACAGCCAGGCTTCTTGCAACACATTCGCAGCGGAACATTTCATCTGGAAGGAAACGTTAAATGGAGTGAGAAGGGAACGTTCTCAAATCCCTTCAGCTCCATTGCCCTGGTCTGCCCGTGCGCACTAAGGAAGACCAACCCACCCTTCAAACCTGAGTTTTCACATTACTTTGCTTCCATACATCTCTCCAGAAAGCCCAGATAGGTCACAGATGTGCATCAGCTTTGTGCATCCCCACCCTAGGTTTTTGCAGATCCTGAACCCCCAGTAGCCCACCTCAAAAATCAAAAAGAGAACTGTGCTCTGGGAACCCATCAAATACCCAAATTCTTCTGAAAAACAGGGCTATCTCTAGAGCAGCCATGGTGACGTATGTCCCTCAGACCTTAGTGAGACACTCTCCTCTCTGTATCCTCCTGTCACTTTCTTGTAAGGATGTTTCTTTAAACATTTTAACTGGTTCTTGATGGTGCACATGGAAAACTCAACAGTTTTTCCTTCTTCCTTGGGAGAATTAGCTCTCTCTTTTTTTCTTTCAAAACTAGAAGTGACCGGACATTAATTCCAGTCTTGACAAAAGCCTTCGTTGTATCCCTTAGTTTGGTGAACCAAAAAGTGCTGGATTTTATACAATTAGAGGTGGACCTCTGGCCATTTCTGGTTTTGTAGGCAGTGCAACCTTGGGCCCCTTAAGGTCATGAAGTCTTAAGGAGCCTTACACTAAGCCCTAGAATCACTCTCACCTCTTTGGCACACTGAATGTCCATCATGAAATTGTGTACATGTTTCTCAGCTCTGGTGAACTCCAGCTTATCAGCAGCCACCGCCACCAGCAGCGCCGTGCAGCCCACTCCCTGTAAAAAAAACAAGAACAGCATGTGAGTGAATGAAACAGGGGGAGTTTGGAAAGGAGGGAGGCAGTGCATCAGATCATTGCTGTGGGAGGGGAATTTGCTTATTCATAGAGCACATGGTTTAATGTCCGGACTCCATCTACACTGGCCACTCCAGGTAGGGCTAAAACCAGGACCTGTGCTGGTCAGGACTGAGCAGTCCTCTGGATCAGGGTGAGCCCCAAAGATCTCACTGCCAACACAGAGCATTCCTTCACCCACCGCTTCAAGACCACCTCCTCGAGTCAAATAGCCTAGTGGTTTTAACATGCATGGAATTGTAGACCTTGGAATGGTTCCTTTTGAGGCTATGATACCCAGAGTTCTCCAACTCAGCTGGCCAAGGTGGCCTGGAGATTTCGGGAAATCTGTTCCAAAGCTGGCTGGACAGCTCGGTGGTTTAGGTATCATCCAGCTGCAAAGCCAGAGGTTGGGAGTTTAATGTGCCACTTTGCCTCCAGGGAGAAGAGCCAGCCTGGGTGGCCTTGGGCAAGCTCACAAAGTCTCCGGATCGCCCCCCCCCGAAGAAAGAAGGAAACCACTTCTGTGTATTCTCTATCTAGAAAACCCTGGGGGGAAAAACACAGTAAGTCAGAACGGACTTGATGATGGTGATCATGATTCCAAAGAAGGGAATGTTCTGAGGTCTGCAAAACCGGCTTGAAAGGAACAGCCAGAAGATCAAACAACGAAGTTACCAAACAAAATGCAAACTTTCTCTCTCTCTGTTCTTACAAGGCCAAAGATATCCGGCCTCTAATACAAAAGAGCTCAGCCAAGGCCAGAGACAAATACTGGCTACCAGGCACAATTTATCCTATGCATTTAAACACATTTATATCTTGGTTTCCCCACCCTCTTTTTTTTTTTAATGTCTGCATTTACCCATAAGGATTTCTGCTGCCTGATTCTATACACATTGCAAGGGCTCAGGGAAAATCACTGGGGAGGGAGCGTGTGTGGCAGGAGGTGAGGCGATGTCACTGCTCGCTGGAGCACCATCCATTCCCACAAAGGAAAGGAGAGGGATATGGTCTCCCGTCTCTCTCTCTGTTCTTACAAGGCCAAAGATATCCGGCCTCTAATACAAAAGAGCTCAGCCAAGGCCAGAGACAAATACTGGCTACCAGGCACAATTTATCCTATGCATTTAAGCACATTTATATCTTGGTTTCCCCACCCTCTTTTTTTTTTTAATGTCTGCATTTACCCATAAGGATTTCTGCTGCCTGATTCTATACACATTGCAAGGGCTCGGGGAAAATCACTGGGGAGGGAGCGTGCGAGCCAGGAGGCGAGGCGGTATCACTGCTCGCTGGAGCACCGTCCATTCCCACAAAGGAAAGGAGGGGAATATGGACTCCCAATGACTCCAGAGAAGTCCCCAGAGGAGTCCCTACAGGGGGCAGAAGAGGAGGAATTATCCCCGGGCTTGAGGGGGATAGGAGTAAAGGAAGAGCAGTTAAAAGAGGTATGAAAGGGAAATAAAGAGAGGGAGGAGATAGAAGCAGGAGAGGCAGAAGTAACAGAGAAAGGGGAGATGGTTGGGGATGGATCTGGTTGCATCCAGATGCTTGGACCCAGAAATGGGAATGACTGAAGGTGTTTAGGGAGGAGGCCAATCATAGGAGACCATCTTACGGGGAGAAGCAGAAGCTAGAGAGTGGAGGAAGAAATTAAGAGAGAGAGAAAGCGTAGAACAAGAGAGAAGGGAAAGGCGTGAATGGCAAGATCAGGAGATGAAGAAGATGCCAGACCTGAGAAGGCCTGGGAGGCGCTGGAACCTGGGGGAATCTCCCAGGTGGTAGGATTTCCTTGGAGACGCATCCATGCCCCTGTTGCCTGTAAAGACGGGAACGAGATGAAGGAATGGCCGTCGGCCGAGCCGCCGGGGCCATGGAACTCAAGTTTTGGCAACCCCTTCGTTCCATCATTACCACTGCAAATTGTGTCTGGGGGAGTTACAGCGGGT